CCGTACAGCTACTATGTTCAAGCTCCCTCTCTTTCCGTCCCCCCTCCCCCTACCCCTTTTTCTCGCCCTCCCTCGCGCTCTCGCCTTTCCCCCTTGCCGTCCCCGCTGCTCGCTGTGGGTGTGGGGGCGCCAGGTACGAGGGCACGGTGTGGAACGACATGGCGCAGGGCAAGGGAGTGTACACCACGCCGCTCGAGCTCTGCAAGTGAGTTTCGTGCACCCTGTCAATGACAAATACAACAACCCACACCACACCAACAGTAAACAGCTTCTCAAATCCTCTCCCCCTCTTCACGCGCACGCTCTCTCCTCCGTGTCCTCCCACTCTCCTGCTTTACTTCCCAACTCCTTCCCGTCTGTCTACCGCTGCGTGTGCACATCTAACTGTGCGTGCGTGCGTGCGTGCGTGCGTCCGTGCGTGCGTGTGCGCGCATGTGAGCTTGAGCAGGTACGAGGGCGAGTGGGTGCAGAACATGATGCAGGGCCATGGTGTCGTCTCCGTTGACGTCCCTGCGCGCCTCCCGCCGCCAGACTCCGAGTGAGCCTCCTCGCAACCCCATGCGCTCTTCTTTCCCCGCCGTGCCGCTTTTCCCCTCCTTCCTACCCTCCTGGTTCTTGTTAAACCCTCAACCTCTACACCCGATCATTGTCGCCCTTCCCCCTGCGCCTCCCCTCTCACCATTCGCCTCCCTTCCCCCACGTCGACACCCCCCCCCCCTGTGTCTCACCCTCCCCTGTCTCCGTCCGCGCGCGGTGTGCGTGTGGCAGGGCGTGGCGGAAGCTGAAGGCGGAGGGGAAGGTGTTTGAGGACGAGGAGATGAGCGCGGAGGACAGGGAGTGGCTGCGCATGGAGCTCGAGGACCTCCAGGAGAGCGAGGCCAAGAAGGCGGGGGGCGCGGGCGGGGAGGGCGCGGGGGCGGTGGAGGACCCCACGGACGCCGTGCCCTTCGAGGACCACCCCGGCTGGCTCAAGGTCTTCGGCCGCAAGCCGTGAGTGCCCTGCTCTCTGGCCGCTGGACGTCAGTGCTCTGCTCTGTGGGGCGTGGGTGTGAGTGCTCTGTTTCTGTGGGGGCTGGGAGTGAGTGCTCCGTTCTGTAGGGGCTGGACGTGAGTGCTCTGCTACTCGGGTTCACAGGAAGCGTGAAGCGTGATTTGACGAACAGAGTCGGATATGCACCTTGAGAGGTCTGGGAACAATGCTTTGCTTTGCGCCTTTCCCCCTGTGGTTCATACGTGCATGTGTGTGCGCAGGGAGAAGGGGCACTACGAGTACGCGGGGCAGATGAAGCAGAACAAGTTCCATGGCTGCGGTGTCTTCACCCTCAACGGCAAAATGCACTTTGTGAGTCACTGAACATCACATTAGCGTCTCGTTACGGCCATTTCGCCCTCCCTCATCCTACGTACTGTCTGCTTGTCAGTGCCGTGTATGTGCTCTCTAGCTATTCTCATGCCATCCACATCCCATGCCATCCCCATCCCATCCCATGCCATGCTGTGCCATGCCGTGCCACTGACAGGGCAAGTTCCGCTTTGGCGAGTTTCTGCGCAACAAGGACGAGTGCGACGCGCACACCTCCGGGGTGAGTGCATCCAAAGGTGCAGCGCTGGGGGGAGTTGCAGGGTTGTGGACAGTCACGATAGAGTGTGCAGGCATGGTTGCCAGAGGGGGGGAGGGGGATGGGTGCACGGACAAGAGGATGGGCATGGCAGGGAGAGTTGCGGTGTGGACAGCTCCTGTCAACGTTGCTGCTGTGTGCATGCCTTGCCATAACGCTTCATCCTCTGGATCGCTCGTACACAAACATCCTTACCCTCCCCCTCGCTACCTGTTAACACTGCCATCCTTCCCCTCCTCCCCTGCCCTTCCCCGGTCAGTTCCATGCGGGCATGGCACGAGTGGCAGCAGCCAAGGCGCGCATGTTTGTCAACAAGCCCGATGGCAGTAAGTACCGTTTATGGAGACGTCTCAAAAGTCCCCGATGGCTGTAAGTACCGTTTATTCCAGCCCCCTGCTCGCCGCTCCTCTCGCCCACCCTGCTCCATCCACGCTCTCCACTTACTCCTGCCCTTGCACCATTCCAGCGCCCCCATCTCTCTCGCCTTCCCTTGCTCGTTTGCCTTCCATTGCTCACTTGCCACAGCCGTGATCCAACCCACCCCTCCATCTCCCATTTCCCCCATCCAGTGCTTGCCCTAAACCCCAAACTCCTTCACCGCACTCCCCATCTCTCCCCATGCGTGTGTGTGCAGTGGTGCGGGAGGTGAAGGGGCCATACAACGAGCCATCGCACCCGTACCTGTACGACGAGGACGACATGTGGCAGGCGCCAGGGTTCATCCACGAGTTCCACGATGTGCCCGCCGTGTGGCGCAAGTATGCGGACGAGGTGGACGGGGAGCGCCAGCTGTGGCTCAACTCCTTCAAGAAGGCGCCCCTGCGTCTCCCCTCGCCCTCCGAACTCTCCTACCTCTGGGACCAGAGTGAGTGCCCGTGCCTGTGAAAGCAGAGTGGGGGCGTTAAGAGACGAGATTGATGGGGGGAGTTCTAGATTTGGAACCAGTGTGAAATTGCATCACATGAAACACAGAGAGAGTATCCCCTGAAGAACTCTATCAGCAATGTGGTGTCCTCTCCCCCCTCCTGGCACCTGGCTCCCCTCTCTCTCGTCTTGGCACTGCCTCCCCATGGATGCCACATGCCTACTTAAGGGCATGCTGCTGCTTGACGAAGCCAAACTGCGTCTGATGTGACAAACCCCCCTCGGGGACCCACTCTTTAGCGGCTTGCTCACTTCGCTTCCATGCCTCCCTCGCTTGCCCTCTACCCTGCTCATTTCCACATGCGCAGAGGAGGAGTTTGTGGTGCTGCGCAACTCACCGCGGCTGCCGGAGCGGGCGGGGGAGAGTGCGGAGGAGGCGGAGATGAGGCGGGCGGACATGCAGGGACAGGTTCTGGTGCACGTGCCGTCGCGGCAGATCATCAACTGGACCACGGACGAGGAGGGCAAGCTGCGCCTCTTTGTTCAGCCCTTCACCAAGTGAGCTGGCTCCCATGGCCGCGGGTAGGGCATGGCAGGATATGGGGTCTAATGGGATGGCATGGGATGGCATGTCATGGCATGGCCTGGCATAGAGTGTGTTCACCATCAAACTTACATCCTCCTTCGCTGGTCCCGTATTTCCATTGTTGCCGCGCCCCTCTCCCGTGCACACATGCACTCATACACTTTGCCTTGCGTGCCCTCACCATCTTCTTCCACTCCTCCCTACCCCGGTCCCCTCCCCTCCCCCCGGCCCCACTTCAGGGATGGCAAGGTGGATCCATCCAAGGCGCGCCCGCTGCCACTGGGCTTCGACGAGTTCATCAAGGGCGAGGAGATGGAGCAGGAGGAGGAGGACGAGGAGGAGGAGGAGAGCGAGGAGGCGCGGCGCCTCAAGACCCCCGAGCAGCTGCAGCGCGATGCAGAGCGCCGCCGGGCCAAGGCCGCGGAGGCGAGGCGGCGCCGCGTGGCGCGGTGGGAGCGCACGCTGCGCAACCGGGTGGCGTCGCGGCGCGAGCAGCGCGAGGAGGAGTGGGCACGGCAGGATGCGGAGGAGGAGGAGCTGCGGCGGCTGGAGGAGGAGGAGTGGCAGCGCGAGGGGGACCTCATGGATGCCGAGTTTGAGGCCCGGCTTGATGCTGCCGAGGGGATCCTGCCCGCTGGAGAGGAAGAGGAGGAGGACGGGGCGGAGGGCGCAGATCAGGCACAGGAGGAGGAAGCGGCTGGCAAAGGGGTGGTGAAGGGCAGTGCTGCATCTGCGGCAGCTGCGGGGGCCAAGGCTGCTGCTGGTGCCTCTGGGGCCGGGGAGGAGGAGGAAGGGTCGGAGAGCGAGAGTGAGGGTGAGAGTGATGATGAGGATGAGGAGGAGAGGAAGCCGCGGAGCTTTGGAACGGTGGCCATGGCGGTGGGAGGGAGCGAGGGCAGGGAGGAGGGCGGGGCAGGGGAGGGGTGGCTAAGGGGGCCGGCTGCAGCAGGCAGCAGCACGGTGTTTGCCTCCATCTCACTCTCCTCTCAGGTGCGTGCACCTGCTTCTCCTTTGGAACTGACTCAGAAGTCTCCTTTCTCTGCTCTTGTCTCACCACCCGTCTTCCCTCTCACCACCCCTTGTCCCTCTCACTTCTCCTCTCTCTCTCCCACCAGGTGGCACTGCAGCACGCCATCCATCACGCCGCACGCTCCATCTCCTCCCTCCGCCGCCTCCTCCCCTCACCCTCCCCTTCCACCCCCACTGCGTCTCCCTCCCCCGCCGCTGCCCCCTTAGCCTCCCCCTCCCTGCCTCCCGCACTGGCACTAATGGTGCGCATGCCTTCCGTGCTGCCTCTCACGCCCTGCCTGCGTGCGTCAGCCCTGTCCTCAGCTGCACGCCATGCACCCGTTGCTAAGAGCAGCTCACGTGGTGCTGCTAGAGCCAGCCATGCTCGCCAGCAGCAGCACCCCCAGGAGGTTGCGGTGGTGGGGGGCATTCTCTCCCTTGCCCTGCCACTGCCTGCTACCCCCCCCCTTGCCTAGTCTGTGTGAGTGAGCTGCTGCTGAGAAGGTGACACTACTCGTGCAACTCTAGACCTGGAATAGGCTTGCCAGACCTCAGGTTTGATATACCGTATCTACAGTAATTAATAAAACATCTAATGCAAGTTGTTGGACCACAAGCTATGGCTCGTACAGCAACAGTATTCAGCAAGGGACATCAATTACAGCTTGGGTACATGATATCGAGGTATATTGCTGGAGTTTTGGATCCAAGCTATCACGCTGTGGATCACAACGAGGATTGCACGTCGGAGCTGTATTGCTAGCTACGGAAACTAGGCATTTCCACACCAAAATCCTCCATCAAGCGAGGCTCAGTTAGTTGCGAAACTGCGAATTGAAAGGTGTCAGAAGTGTGATGTTTCACTGCCTGAGTGCAATTTGTACAAAAACCTCCATATTGCACTATTCTGTAGTGGAGTGGAATCAAGTGTCCTGCAGAAGATCCATACTGTATCCCAACTAAGCATCCACACATAGGGTACGTCAATACTTTATTCCTACACGCATGCCTTCACCATGTGTCCTTGCCTATCAGCTACCAAACCAACACACCCCGTCCACCCGGACCACAGTCCCCTATCCAATCCCGGTCTATCCAATCCCCTACCACCGCCGTTCCGCCTAACACCCCCCAGCCCTGCACATATCCACGTGTCTGGCACAACTGCATGCGTGTGTGTGAGAGAGTGCACCCGGCAGCAGGCAGCAGGCGACTGGTTAGTACGGCTTTTCATCCCAGGCCCAGGAGCGCCAGTTGTTGCCGATGTAAGGCGGCTCGGGGTTCCAGTTCCAGGGGCGGCCGTTGACCTTGCCGCCGGGCGGCACGTACCCGTTGCCCACGAAGAGCTCCTTGAAGCGCCCGCGGATGTTGGAGATGTAGCAGAGCTGCCGGCCGTCGCCGCGGTAGGGCTGGCGCGCGCAGCGCATGAGCTCGGTTACCCAGGAGCTGTACCCCACGGACTCCAGCCACTTGTTGCCGAACGCCATGCGCCCGAACGCCGCCTGGTTGGGGCCTGGGCAAGTGACGCCGATGCTCACGTTGACTGCGGGCTCCCAGTAGATTCCCACATCATTCGCCTGCATGGACGCGCACACGCACGTGTACCGGAACCACATGCCGTAGTCGCTGTTCTTGTCGCATTCGAACGGCTTCGTCAGGTCACTGCCCGCGATCGCCTCCGCGCCCTGCTTCCCCCCGCCGAGGCTGAGCGCCACCACCACCGCGCACAGCAGCGCCACGCGTACCGAGCGGAGACCCATGATTCGTGGCCAAAAAGCTAAGGAGATCGCTAAAACGGAGTGGATGCACAGAAGAATTGGGATATCGTCCAGAAGAGTTGATGTGTTCCCATTGATGACTCTAGCCCTAAGCAAGCCTTCTTATGCATCCTTGGGCTCAGTGGAATCGCCGAATCGTGCTGAGACGCGGCTCGTTGAAGCCAAGAAGGAAGATGCGAATTCATGTGAAATGGCGACTCGTGAGGGTTGCGAGAGGAGCAAGTGGAGGTTGCGTCAGAAGGGGACGGTTGGTCTCCTGCTAGGGGTTGCCAACCGCTGTTCCGCATAAAAGTTGGTTTCGAGTTTCGGCATCCTCGAAAACGGTGTACATTGCGTATCGTGAAATATATATGTGGTGTCGTAAAATTAGTAATTGCGCCAGATCTTTTTTCCTGTGTGGCAGAAATGCTTGCCATGCCTGCGTGGCATGATGAATGGTAACCAGCAAAAGAGCCTCTCGTAGCGACATTCGTCAAAGAGCCCACTCCAGATGGCAAGATCTCAGCGCTGGTTTCTTCTTACGTGGCTTACTGGCGGATAGGGCTCCGCCTCCCGCACACCACCCTCCGCCACAAACGATTCTTCCAAACGCCTTCCGACTGGTGACTTTCGGCAACTTCAGGGGCTTCACCGCGTTCCCCGCGCTTTGCACTTCCGCTTTCCCGACTTCTCGCCTGCCAGCTTTCACCTTCCCGCCCTCCCCGCATCCCCGATCCCGCCCACCACCCCCACCACCCCCACCAGCCCTCAGCGCCTCTGTTACCCTTGGGATCTCCTTTCCCCCCATCCATCGTCTCGTGCCTTCCCTTCCCTCCCACCCACCACCAGCACCGTTGCTGCTGCTGCTGCTGCTCTCACCTCAACCTTCTCTTGCTGCAGCTCTTCAGGCATCACGCTTTGCTCTAGTCTCCACGCCTGACTAGGTGATTCGCTGCAATGGCTGCCGTCGCTTCCACCATGGCCACCACCCTCTCCGTGAGGAGCCTCAACACCGCCTTTGTCGGCGGAAAGAGCCTTCGTTCGGCTGCGAAGCTTCCGTCAGTCGTGAGGGCCGCTAGGTTGGTCGCGGAGGCCAGGCAGGAGAAGGCCGTCAGCAGCTCTTCCGTCGCGTCCGCCGCGTCATCCGTCGTCGAGGGAATCTTCGGCGAGAAGGCGACGAGGCAGATGCACCACGCTGCGATCATTGCGATGAATGCGATGATCGCCATGCCAGCGTTCGCTGAGGAGGAGAAGGGAAAGATCTTCGATTTCAACCTGACCCTCCCCATTATCGTCGTTCAGTTCCTCCTCCTCATGGTTGCTCTCGATACCATCTGGTTCAAGCCGGTCTCCACTGTCATGGATTCCCGCGACGAGGAAATCAGGAAGAAGCTGATCGGCGTGAGGGACAACTCGGGCGAGATTAAGGACCTGCAGAGCCAGGCCGAGGCGCTCATCAAGGCGGCTCGCGCGGAGGCGTCAGGGCAAATGAACGCGATGAAGAAGGAGGTGGCTGCCGAGCTTGACGCGAAGCTGCAGGCGTACCGGGCGCGCATCGAGAAGGAGCTCGAGTCGTCGCTCGCCAACCTCGAGACGCAGAAGGTGGCGACCCTCAAGAGCCTCGACTCGCAGGTGTCTGCACTCAGTGACGAGATCGTGAACAAGGTCATTCCCTTCAAGGCGTGATCCGTGTCGCACTGTTGTACTTGAGATAATCTTTTATAGAGCTCGCATTTTTGAAACCCCAGTAGAGGCGTCTCTGAGCACAAGCTTCCCCTCTTCCGAGAGCCAAACTCACTTGCACTCACACCCACTCACGTCACACTCACTCCCTCAGACTCACTCACTCAAACATGGACACTCGTACTTAGGCGCTCACTCACTCACAGGGTTCTGCGTGAGTAGCAGGGTGCTCTCAGCACCGCCATCATTATAGGTGTGCATCGGCCTCACAAATAGAAGTACAATGGAGGCTGACCAATGTGCAGGAACATACCATATGATGGCCAAAGGAATGTTTGCCTTGCATTGCTAAACCCTCTCCAGCATGTCTACCTGGAACAACACTGGTGCTTGGGCTGTGCGAACAGCACAGCAAGTCTTGGGCAGCAAGCAAATGCATCTCTGTGCACTGCACTCCCTTCCCTGGTACCGTATCATTCTATGGGGGGAGAATACCTGTAGAAGCCTGAACCGAAAGAATGGCCCAGTATGCAGCTCAGCCTAGGTTGTGTGCATAAAAATTATATAAAAACCGGTTTCATAAGGCCAATGCTCAGTCTAGGTGTGGGTGGGACGTCTCCCAATGTTGACGCATGTGTGTGTGCATCACCTACAGCTCATCCTTCACCTCCTGTGACGATCCTGCTACCTCCTCCCCTCTTCCACCATCCGTCTCTAAGTCCCTTCTCAGCTCCTCCTCCTCTGCCCTCGCTGTCACATCTTCCCCCACCACATTCCCCCCAGCTGCTGCACCAGCACCAGCCTCCCCACTGGCAGCTGTCTCCACACCCCCTTGCTCCCTCTCCTCCCCTCTCTCCCCCTCCACCGCCTCACCCCCCTCGCCCTCTCGCATCACGCACGCGTCCCAAGTCGCCCGGCCAGCGCTCTCAGCGTCCTTGCGGGGGGTCTGCCACGTGGCGTGCACCGCCATCTTGTGGGGCGGCTTGGAGTACGATGCTATCAGCTGCAGCTCCTCCTTGCCGTCATTCACAATCTGAGACACACAGGGGGGAGGGTGTGGAGGGGAATGAGAGGGGGGAAACTGTGGGCGGGAAGCTAGCAGGGTGGCATGAGACGGCTTATAGGAGGAGAGGTTTGAAGGGGATTGTAGGGAGCAGAGTGCATAGCTTATGAGCACATTCCTCTCGCACAGCATTCACCTGGCACAGCATTCACCTGGCACAGCATTCACCTGGCACAGCATTCACCTGGCACAGCATTCACCTGGCACAGCATTCACCTGGCACAGCATTCACCTGGCACAGCATTCACCTGGCACAGCATTCACCTGGCACAGCATTCACCTGGCACAGCATTCACCTGGCACAGCATTCACCTGGCACAGCATTCACCTGGCACAGCATTCACCTGGCACAGCATTCACCTGGCACAGCATTCACCTGGCACAGCATTCACCTGGCACAGCATTCACCTGGCACAGCATTCACCTGGCACAGCATTCACCTGGCACAGCATTCACCTGGCACAGCATTCACCTGGCACAGCATTCACCTGGCACAGCATTCACCTGGCACAGCATTCACCTGGCACAGCATTCACCTGGCACAGCATTCACCTGGCACAGCATTCACCTGGCACAGCATTCACCTGGCACAGCATTCACCTGGCACAGCATTCACCTGGCACAGCATTCACCTGGCACAGCATTCACCTGGCACAGCATTCACCTGGCACAGCATTCACCTGGCACAGCATTCACCTGGCACAGCATTCACCTGGCACAGCATTCACCTGGCACAGCATTCACCTGGCACAGCATTCACCTGGCACAGCATTCACCTGGCACAGCATTCACCTGGCACAGCATTCACCTGGCACAGCATTCACCTGGCACAGCATTCACCTGGCACAGCATTCACCTGGCACAGCATTCACCTGGCACAGCATTCACCTGGCACAGCATTCACCTGGCACAGCATTCACCTGGCACAGCATTCACCTGGCACAGCATTCACCTGGCACAGCATTCACCTGGCACAGCATTCACCTGGCACAGCATTCACCTGGCACAGCATTCACCTGGCACAGCATTCACCTGGCACAGCATTCACCTGGCACAGCATTCACCTGGCACAGCATTCACCTGGCACAGCATTCACCTGGCACAGCATTCACCTGGCACAGCATTCACCTGGCACAGCATTCACCTGGCCACAGCATTCACCTGGCACAGCATTCACCTGGCACAGCATTCACCTGGCACAGCATTCACCTGGCACAGCATTCACCTGGCACAGCATTCACCTGGCACAGCATTCACCTGGCACAGCATTCACCTGGCACAGCATTCACCTGGCACAGCATTCACCTGGCACAGCATTCACCTGGCACAGCATTCACCTGGCACAGCATTCACCTGGCACAGCATTCACCTGGCACAGCATTCACCTGGCACAGCATTCACCTGGCACAGCATTCACCTGGCACAGCATTCACCTGGCACAGCATTCACCTGGCACAGCATTCACCTGGCACAGCATTCACCTGGCACAGCATTCACCTGGCACAGCATTCACCTGGCACAGCATTCACCTGGCACAGCATTCACCTGGCACAGCATTCACCTGGCACAGCATTCACCTGGCACAGCATTCACCTGGCACAGCATTCACCTGGCACAGCATTCACCTGGCACAGCATTCACCTGGCACAGCATTCACCTGGCACAGCATTCACCTGGCACAGCATTCACCTGGCACAGCATTCACCTGGCACAGCATTCACCTGGCACAGCATTCACCTGGCACAGCATTCACCTGGCACAGCATTCACCTGGCACAGCATTCACCTGGCACAGCATTCACCTGGCACAGCATTCACCTGGCACAGCATTCACCTGGCACAGCATTCACCTGGGCACAGCATTCACCTGGCACAGCATTCACCTGGCACAGCATTCACCTGGCACAGCATTCACCTGGCACAGCATTCACCTGGCACAGCATTCACCTGGCACAGCATTCACCTGGCACAGCATTCACCTGGCACAGCATTCACCTGGCACAGCATTCACCCTGGCACAGCATTCACCTGGCACAGCATTCACCTGGCACAGCATTCACCTGGCACAGCATTCACCTGGCACAGCATTCACCTGGCACAGCATTCACCTGGCACAGCATTCACCTGGCACAGCATTCACCTGGCACAGCATTCACCTGGCACAGCATTCACCTGGCACAGCATTCACCTGGCACAGCATTCACCTGGCACAGCATTCACCTGGCACAGCATTCACCTGGCACAGCATTCACCTGGCACAGCATTCACCTGGCACAGCATTCACCTGGCACAGCATTCACCTGGCACAGCATTCACCTGGCACAGCATTCACCTGGCACAGCATTCACCTGGCACAGCATTCACCTGGCACAGCATTCACCTGGCACAGCATTCACCTGGCACAGCATTCACCTGGCACAGCATTCACCTGGCACAGCATTCACCTGGCACAGCATTCACCTGGCACAGCATTCACCTGGCACAGCATTCACCTGGCACAGAGTATGTAGCGTACCTGGTGTAGGGCCTTGGGTTGGAAGGTGACGGTGGTGTTGCGCTTGACTGCATGGGCGGACGGTTCTGTCTTCTTCTCCTCCACCACCCACACCTTGCCCTCTCCGCGCGTGAACACCACCACCTCCTCCTGTCACCGCCACCACGCCACCAACAAGCAGCCGAGCACAAGCAGCACACGGCACACAGCAAACAATGAGTGGCACGCAGGATGCAATGAGCGGCGCACACCACACCACGTACATGCCGGCCAGTCACACAGCCATGTCGTGCTTGCAAGAGAGGAATTGAAACGTGGCGGATCGGTCCAAACAGAACGACGAACGCCTGCACTGGTGGCTGTGTGAGCATATGGGTGAGAGCGTATGGGGGCCATCATGCCTCACCTGCGGGTGCGAGTGAATGGGGGTCTTAGCACCAGGCGCGAACGTCATCATAAACACCTCCACGTGTTTCAGCCCGTGCTGCACCTTGCCGCCCAGCGTGATCACCGCCACGCCCTCCATGCCGTAGCTGTCCTGGTACAGAGTTCGAATCTCGCGCACCAACGGGCCGCGCGACAGGTCCTCGCAGTACGGCTCGGGATCCGCCGCCACTACCGCTTCCGACGCCGCTTCCGCTGGTGAGCCCGCTGCAGATTCCGCTGCTGCGCCGGTTGCGCCTGCTCCCTCCGCGTCCGCTGGTTGCGCTGCTGCGGAAGCCGCTTCCGCTGTTTCCGCGGGTGAATGCTGTGTCCCGTCAGCCGCTGACGCGTCAGCAGCGACCATGATTGGCGATGCCGCAAGCGATAGCGCAAGAAGCAGCGCGACGACGGGTTGTCGCACGGCGACGCGAACGGAGTCCCGGGCGACAATCGGAGCCATGACGTCGCACACCGCTACTCAAAAGAGGTATATCTCCCGCGGCGCTGAGTGTCTCCGGAAGAGTTTGAGCTGCGTTGAGAATTGAGATGTGAAGGTGGACTGTAATGAGAAATGGGAATGGCTGATGACACGATTGATCAGCTTGCTCGTGGCGCTGAACGGAAGCTTCAAGAAATTCCAGTGGTGTGGGCTGAACCGGTTTGATATACGGTACGTCCCGGTTGAGAAGGAAAAACTGGGATAAAAAACGAGCCCAAATTAACACACACTTGCAAAATTAACTTCAGACCTCAGTTGTTGTTAATGAAGCAACCACCTTAGTAGCTTTTGATCACATGCCGTACGACTGTGCATGCAAGAGGAAAAGCGGATCACACCACAGCACATCCTTCTCCCAACGCATCCCCTTCCTACCCCTCTCCCTGGCACCAGCATCATCATCAGCATCATCAACAGCATCATCATCAGCATCATCATCAGCATTCGCCCGCATCACATCTGAGAGCACACTCTGCAGGATGGGATTCACAGGCATCTCCTGCAGCTTCCTCGCAGCTGCCTTGACCAGCTTCCTTGTCCTCCGCACATCCTCGGCTGTTGCTTGCAACGCACTCACTGCTGCCGTGCACTCACTCCCATCCCCACTGCTGCTCTCGACACACTCCTTTTCACACTCCTCTCTGCTCATATTTCTCCAACCCAGTGCAAGACACTCGACACGCCCAGCTCCCGAGAACGACACTTTGCTAAGCGCCCACAACCCAAGAAGCGGCCGAATCAGGGCAGAAAAAGAGTCCTGGTGAAACGTCGGCCCGCCCACCCATTTCATCGACTTGCACAGCCGGGCAGCTTGGGCAGCCTCGGTGAAAAACCTTCTTGCAAAGACCAATTTCCAGGTGGTGATTGTTCTGAGGAGCGCAGGGGAGGGCGGGCAGTGCTGCAGCGCTTGGTGCAGGTGCAGGCAGCAGAGGTGTGCGAGCAGCAAGGGCTCCTCGTGGTGGTTATCAACCTCTCGGTCAAACAGCCTCCGCACAAACCCCGGCACTGCCCGCACTGCTGCCGCTGCTCCTTCCTCTCCTGGTCTCGTTTCCCCATCCCTCCTCTCACTCTCTGCTGCACTCTCCTCCTCCTGCTCCTCCTCTTCATCCTCCTCACCCACCAACTCATCTCCCAGGCGGTCCAAGGCAGTGAGGCGCTGAAAGCTCGAGGGGGAGACAAAGTCGGGGTGAAGCACCCAGGCTGCCAGGTGTGCGGGCAGCAGGGCGGGCGGGCAGGCACGCAGGCACAGCGACACGTGTGCCAGTGCTGCCTCTACTGCCCGCTCCACTTGTGCCGGCACAAAGGCCGACGACACTGCTGCTGTAGTGGGTGGTGCGTGTGGGTGTGCGGCGTCGGCAGCGGCAGTGGTGGTGATGGTGAGGACGGCAGTGGCGAGGGACTTGCGAAGCGTCTCATCTTCATCCTCCATCACTCTAATCACTGTCAGCCATGCACGCACCACCACCCTCGCATACTCCATCACTGCACCCTCCCCTCCTTCCCCACCCTCTGCTCCCTCTTTTCCCTCCTCTCCCTCCACTCCCATTGCTTCACAGCGCAGCACGTGCCCCACTCTACCCACCTCCAGCAGCAGTCCTGACGACACCACCGCCTCCGCTGCCGCCCGCCGCACACTCACTGGCCGGTGCGCCGCACTCTGCTCGCCAATCAGCTGCAGCCACGTGGCAGCCAGCTGCAGCAGGTTCCCCGTACCTCGGCCCTGACCCAGGGAAAAGTCTCCTGAAGTCAACACCCCCTCCATTGACTGCTTCGCGCCCTCCTGCTGCCAGGCACCTTGCAGCTGTTGCTGCTCCATTCCACACCCGGCCAGGCGGCCATGCTGGGAGAGCAGAAGGCGGAAGCAGTGCCCCAGGCACCTCAGCGCCGCCTCCCTCGTTTTCAGCACGCGCGCCGTCTCAAATATCTCCAGCACCACCGCCCACAGCGCTGCACACCCGCTCCTATCGCTGCTAGCTGCAGTGCTGTCAGGCACGTGGGAGGGGCCACCAGGTTGCCTCTCCTCTGCTGTCCCTGCCAGTGGTGGTTCTCCAGGCAGCAGAGCAAAGGGAAGCAGGGGCAGCAGGAGGGGCTGCAGGGAGGGCAGGGAGAGGGCGGGCAGCAGCACCTTGAGCAGCCGCCGGCACCTCATCTCGTCCCGCCCGTTCACCCGCCTCTCCTGCTGCACCCCCTGCACCACCGCCAGCAGCACCGCCCCCACTCCGCCCTCTCCGCTGCTGCTGCGGTGAGGCGCGGTCTGGAGCGGTGACAGCAGCGGCGCGAGCAAGCAAGGGGAGGCGAAGAGGTGGGAGAGGGAGCGGAGAGCTGACAGTTGCACGTCTCGACAGGGGTCTTGCACTGCTGACAGCACCACCTGCCAAAACGCATCCGCACTGCCACACACCCCGCCCTCTCCCACCCCTGCTTCTCGCCTCGTATCCCCCTCCACAGCACCCAGCCCCTCCCACAGGCCTCGGCCTGCCAGGCACACAGCTTCTGGGGAGAGGAGCAGAGAGGCGGCGGTTTGCCTGAGAGCGAGGGCTGTGGGGTCGAGGATGGTGAAACGGAGAGGCGGGTGGAAGGAGAAGGCACGCAGGGCTAGCGGGAGGAAGGCGGCTGCTGTGGCTTGAACCATTGGGGTGAGGGGTGGTGCAGAGGGGTGAGGGGCGGTGGGGAGAGGGGTGGAGAGGGGAGGGGAGGACAGCGAGGTGGAGGAGTGGAGGGCGGAGGAGAGGAGGGCGGAGAGGGGAGGGGAGGCGTGGAGCGCGGAGGAGAGGAGAAGGTGGGAGACGGTGAGATACTCTGCAACCACACTGGGGCAGCAGCAAGCGAGGGGGTCGCCCAGCCACCGCCGCTGCTGCAGCGCCTGCAGCACCTCCTGCACGTCTGCTGCCCTGCTGGCCCCCTCCCCTCCCCCCTGCTGCTGCTGCTGCTGCTGCTGCTGCTGCTGCTGCTGGCCAGTGCCGGCAACCCAGTAGGCGGCAAGCTGGTGGCGCATCTGCAGCAGCACACCATGCACCGCATTGTACCCCATACCTGCACCTCCCCTCCCGCCCTCACCTTCACCTCCCTTCTCACATTCCTTCTCCTTTTCCTCCTCACTTTCCTTCTCACTTCGTCCCTCCTCACCACCATCCATCCCAACCATCCCACCCCTTCTTCCCCACTCCTTTGGTAGACTGCGTGCCAGCTTCAGCAGCATCCCGGAAACTTCCGTGGAGGCCACAATGGGCACGAGCGCGCGGGCGGCGAGCTCTCGGATGTGCATGCGGGGGTGGGCGGCGCAGAGCGAGACGGCCGGCACGAAGGCGGAGGGGGAGAGGAAGGAGGAGGGCGAGGGGGAGGTGAGGGTGGAGGGCTTGAGGCGCGAGAGCAGGATGAGCGCGGGGCCCAGGGCGGGATGCAGCGGCTGGGAGGAGGCAGGGGAAGAGGAGGTGGAAGAAGCGGAGGTGGTGGCGCTGGCACTGGTGGTGGCGGTGGGGGAGGGGGAAACGTCAGCAGGGGGGATCTCAGCAGAAGGCAGGAAGGCGAGCGCAGCCTGTCGGAGGTGGCGGAGGAAGAAGGCGTGCAGATGAGGGTAGCGCAGGAAGAACTCCACTGCTGTCATGCTCTGCCTCGCCGTCTGCTTGCACACCACCTGCTCCCGCGCCCACGGCCGCCCCGCCCGGGGCACGTTCTTAAAGCCCAGCATGCGGTGCAGCAGTGCCACCAGGCACAGCCCGCCTGCGTTGCGCACCTCCCAGTGCGGCGAGCGGGCGGCGGCGACGGCGGCTTGGAGAGCAGGGGAGCAGAAGGCGGAGGTGTCAGTGGCAAGGTGGGTGTCGTGGAAGGCCAGGCGCAGCACGTTCCATGCGTGCACCGCTGCTACCACTCCCTCCTCTCGTGCCTTGAGGGACAGTGCTGGTGCTGTTGCTGCAGCTTGCACCCCTGGTGCTACTGTTGCTGGTCCTGGCACCAGCGCTTCTCCTGCCTGCTCTGCACGCCCACCTTTCCACTCTTCCCCTCCTGCCCCTCCTTCCACTTCTGCACCATCCCCCACACCCTCCGCGTCTCTCCCCACCCCACCCCGTCTCTCCGCCCCCCCCACCACCTCCAGCAGCCATGCCACAGCACGGGGCAGCAGCACTTTCGGCGCCCCCTGGGGCTCGCCCAGAAACAACCCCAGGAACGCAGCGGGCAGGCCAGCAGAGCGGCGGATGAGGTCGGTGAGGGTCTGGTGCGGTGCAGTGAGGCGGCGCTGCAGTGTGGTGAGCCAGGAGCGCGGGAGGGCGTTGAGGGCGGGGGAAGGGCAGCGCAGCAGACGGTCTGTGAGCGCTATGAAGCCGGCCCGCGTCTTGTCGACGGCCCCGTTGTGCTTCATGGCTAGAAGGAGGGAGACGAAGTGATCTCCCACTTGCTGAACGAGGGGGGAGAGGAGGGCGTGGATGGGGGGGACAAGGGGAGGTTGAGAGAGGGGTGAGCGCTATGAAGCCGGCCCGCGTCTTGTCCACGGCCCCGTTGTGCTTCATGGCCAGGAGGAGGGAGACGAAGTGATCTCCCTCGGACTTGTCCCGCGGACTCGTCCTGCGGACTAGTCCCTCCGACTCGTTCTGTGGACTAGTCCCTCCGACTCGTCCTGCGGACTAGTCCCTCTGACTCGTCCTGCGGACTAGTCCCTCCGACTCGTCCTGCGGACTAGTCCCTCCGACTCGTCCTGCAGACTAGTCCCTCGGACTAGTCGTTCGGACTAGTCCCTCGGACTCGTCCTGCGGACTAGTCCCTCCGAATCGTCGTGCGGACTAGTCCCTCCGACTCGTCGTGCGGACTAGTCCCTCCGACTCGTCCTGCGGACTAGTCCCTCCGACTCGTCCTGCGGACTAGTCCCTCCGACTCGTCCTGCGGACTAGTCCCTCCGACTCGTCCTGCGGACTAGTCCCTCCGACTCGTCCTGCGGACTAGTCCCTCCGACTCGTACTGCGGACAAGTCCCTCCGACTCGTCCCGCGGACTAGTCCCTCGGACTCGTCCTGCGGACTAATCCCTCTGTCTCGTCCTGCAGACTAGTCCCTCCGAATCGTCCTACGGACTAGTCCCTCGGACTAGTCCTGCGGAATAGTCCCTCCGACTCGTCATGCGGACTAGTCCCTCGGACTCGTCTTGCGGACTAGTCCCTCGGACTCGTCCTGCGGACTAGTCCCTCCGACTCGTCCTGCGGACTAGTCCCTCCGACTCGTCCTGCAGACTAGTCCCTCGGACTCGTCCTGCGGACTAGTCCCTCCGACTCGTCCTGCGGACTAGTCCCTCCGACTCGTCCTGCGGACTAGTCCCTCCGACTCGTCCTGCGGACTAGTCCCTCCGACTCGTCCTGCGGACTAGTCCCTCCGACTCGTACTGCGGACAAGTCCCTCCGACTCGTCCCGCGGACTAGTCCCTCGGACTCGTCCTGCGGACTAATCCCTCTGTCTCGTCCTGCAGACTAGTCCCTCCGAATCGTCCTACGGACTAGTCCCTCGGACTCGTCCTGCGGACTAGTCCCTCCGACTCGTCATGCGGACTAGTCCCTCGGACTCGTCTTGCGGACTAGTCCCTCGGACTCGTCCTGCGGACTAGTCCCTCCGACTCGTCCTGCGGACTAGTCCCTCCGACTCGTCCTGCGGACTAGTCCCTCCGACTCGTCCTGCGGACTAGTCCCTCCGACTCGTCCTGCGGACTAGTCCCTCCGACTCGTCCTGCGGACTAGTCCCTCCGACTCGTCCTGCGGACTAGTCCTTCGGACGCGTCCTGCGGACTAGTCCCTCCAACTCGTCCTGCGGACTAGTCCCTCCGACTCGTCCTGCAGACTAGTCTCTCCGACTTGTCCTGCGGACTAGTCCCTCCGACTCGTCCTGCGGACTAGTCTCTCCGACTCGTCCTGCGGACTAGTCCCTCCGACTTGTCCTGCGGACAAGTCCCCCCGACTCGTCCTGCGGACTAGTCCCTCGGACTCGTCCTGCGGACAAGTCCCTCCGACTCGTCCTGAAGACTAGACCCTCGGATTCGTACTGCGGACTAGCCCCTGGGACTCGTCCTGAGGACTAGTCCCAGGGACTAGTCCCTCGGACTTGTCCTGCGGACTAGTCCCTCGGACTTGTCCGGCGAACTTGTCCCTCGGACTTGTCTATCGGAATTGTCATCGCTCATACGCTGCACCGCACGCTCATACGCTGCACCTCACGCTCATACGCTGCACCTCACGCTCATACGCTGCACCGCTCGCTCATACGCTGCATCGCCCGCTCATACGCTGCACCGCACGCTCACACGCTTTTTTGCCCACTCATACGGTGCACCGCCCGCTCATACGCTGCACCGCACGCACATACACTGCACCGCAGGCACAAACACTGCAGCGCAGGCACAAACACTGCACCGCAGGCACATACACTGCACCGCAGGCACAAACACTGCACCGCAGGCACAAACATTCCATCCCAGGTGCGGGCTCACACATACCTTGAGCTGCACAGCATCCAGCAGTTCTCCCCCACCCTCCATCTCCCCTCCCTCTCCCCTCCTCCCCGTCGCCCGCTTTCCCTCCTCCCCATCCACCTCCTCCTCGCCTGCCCCCGCATGAGCCTGGAGCGGCACGGAGCGAGCGAGCGTGCCGAGGAGCAGAGAGACCTCCTTCATGGAGAGCCAGCACGCCACCATCACCATCTGCTCCACCGGGGCCAGCTGCTGCCCACTGCCATCGTCTTCACCGGCTCCCATCACATCGTCCTCAGCAACAGCATAATCAGCAGCATCGGCAATACCATCATCGGCATCGTTGCCTTCTACCTCCCCATCTTCACCTTCCTCCTCCCCCTCATTCTCCTCCTCTCGCCCCTCACAGCACACTGCACTGGTCCCCTGTGCGTCCTTGTCACTCACTTGCAGCCGTCCCCCCTCCCCCACGTCCACGCGCAACCCATCTGCTGCCACCACCCACAGAGCCAGCCCCGTCACTCGCAGCACCAGCGCCAGCACCCGCCGCAGCACCCCCCTCATGCCCCCTGCTGTCTGCGCCTCCTGCGCAGCCCCATCAGCCCCATCAGCCCCATCAGCCCCGTCAGCCCCATCAGCAGCATCAGCAGCGGTGTGCATGGATGGTTCGGTCCAGTCAACCTCCTCGAGCGTGTATCGGAGCAGCAGCAGCACACCGTGCACGAGGCTGTGCCGGCACGCCCCGATCATGTCCCTCTCACCCTCCTCCACCAGCGCTGCCAGCCACTCGTTCAGCGACTGCACATACTCCACCAGTACCCCTTGCCCATTGCTGTTGCTGCTGCTGCTGCTGCTGCTGCTGCTGCCCCCAGACTCAACAGCACAGTCAGCAAGAGCACCAGGAGCAGCAGCTTCATCACCAACAACAGCAGCAGGAGGAGGCGTGACAGAAACGGAGGGAAAGAGCCTCACTTGCCACCCCAGTCCCACCACATACTTCTTAAACACCAGCTTCAGCACCAGCGCGCCCGCATCACTCTCCCTCACCCTCGGGCTCATCACAAGCCCACACGCCCACTCCACCACCTCTGCCACCTGTCCTGAACTCTCCAACCCCGGCAGCGGAGCAGGGTACTTGAGCAGCACCCCCAGCGCCGCCTCTCTCAGCCGGTCCCAACTGTCCACCGCTGCTGCCAGCAGTAGGTGCGTGCTGCCTGGGGCCAGCGCACCGGGCGGGTAGGGGGAGAAGGTTGGGAGGTGTGGGGTGGTGTGAGGGGGCAGTGCAGCGGCAGTGTGAGGCGGGAGGAAGTCATGTGGGCTCCAGACGTCCATGAGCGCGGAGAGAGTGTCGAGAGCCATGCTCTTGCGCTCATAGGGTGCGGAGGGGTACAGCGAGGAGAAGAGCAGCGCAGTGAGCCACTGCATGAACGCCTGTACCTCGCCCACACTCGCCCCCTCCTCCCTCTCCCCCTCTTCCCCCCCCTCCTCCCCTGCCTTCATTCCCCCCTCCTCCTGCTCCTCACCTCCTCCCCGAGCATCGCCTCCTTTCCCTGCTTCGCCTCCCCCCAGCGCAACCATTTTCTGGCGGCGGGTGACAGCAGCCATCCTCTCCTGCCGTTCCACGGCAGCGCGAACGCGGGAGAAGAAGCGGCGCACGATGGAGCACCAGCGCATGCGCAGGTTGGGCGAGGAGCAGCGCAGGTTGAGGGGGAAGGCGAGCCCCAGCAGGTGCAGCTCGGGGGGGGACGGCATGGCCGTGGTGCGGAATGAGATGCACAGCAGCTCCGCCACGTCCACCCGCACCGCCTCGTCAGCGTGCCACGTCGCCCGCTCCAGCATCCACGTCAGCACGGTCTGCGGCCCGCCGGACCAGTCACTCCTCCCCGCCTCCTCTCCGTCCGCCCTCCCTTTCTCCCCATCCCCACTCTCTCCCTCCTCCTCCTCCTCCTCCTCCTCCTCCTCCTCCTCCTCCTCCTCCTCCTCCTCCTCCTCCTCCTCCTCCTCCTCCTCCTCCTCCTCCTCCTCCTCCTCCTCCTCCTCATCATCCCCTGAACCCGCCCTCTGCGCCCACATATCCCGGCCGCCCCTACCAGCGGCCTCCAGGGGTCCATCCAGCACGCCCATGCCGCGCCCCATGCGCAGCAGCGCTACCACCGCCCCCACCCGCGCATCCACACTCGCCCCCCACGGGTACTCCCCATGCGGCCCTCCCCTCACATCCGCCAGCTCAGGCCAGTGCTCCCACACCGCCACCGCGCTGCCCAATCTATCCTCAATACCCTCTCCTCCCTCGCTGCCTGGGGGCAGGGCGGTGAGGAAGGAGAGGAGGGGCCAGAGCGAGGGCGGGTCGAGGGTGAGGAGCACGGGGAGGGCGTAGGTGGCCACGTTGGTGCGGTGCAGAGACGGCCCTGCCACCAGCCCACACAGCACTGCTGGCATCCACACCCTCCGCCACTCCACGTTGCCTCCCCCCTCTCCGCCGCCTTCCTGACCCTCCCCAATTCCTGCTGTGGCCGTTGTGCCTGCTGTGCCGGCCCAGCACTCCTCACGGAGGCGGGAGAGGAAGGGGGAGAGGAAGGAGGCGACAGCACAGCACACGCCCTCGTCGCCCATGGCTGCTAGGGCGTCACCCAACACTCCCACCGGGAACCGCACACTCCCTCCTGCTCCCTCCCCTTTTCCTGCTGCTCCATTCCTCTCACTCCCCACGCTCCTCTCGCCTTCCTCGCCCTCCAAGCGCCCCTGCTTGCTCATGAGCAGCAGGCGAGCAGCGCCCAAGCGCAGAGCGAGCGAGGCAAGGGGAACATACCGCCCCTTCCTGTGCGGCCCCGTCGCCAGCACCTCCTGAGCCAGCTGCTCCGCAAACCGCCGAAACTCGCCGCCTACGCGGGATGCGCCTGCACCGGAAACAACCTCCTCGTCCGTCCCTTCTGCAGCTGCAGCCGCCCCTCCTGGTGCAGCAACTGGCCTCGCCTCTGCTGTCCCACTCTGCCTTGCCTCCTGCTCCTGCTCTCGTCCCCCCTCTGCCCCCTCTCCCTGCTCCTCCGCCATCATGAACCCCAGCCCCTCCACCACATCCTCCTCCTCCTCCTCTTCCCTCCCTTTCTCCTCCCGCTCATCTTTCACACCGTCACCTACAGAACCAGCAACATCTTTTCCTCCTCCCTTCTCTTCCTCTGTAGCCCCCGCGCCCTTATCCCCTTCGCCCACGCGTCCCAGGCATTCAACAACGTCCAGCAGCAGGTCCAGTGCCACGTGGGCCTGCCTCGCCGTCTGAGTCAGCGGATCCTCCCAGTGGCCCCACACCGCGCCCAGGATCCTATCCACAATGCCACGTGGCATCTCCTCATACGCCGGCACACCGCCATCCTCCATCGAAATTTCCACCGATTGGCTAAGAGGAAATATATCAGCTTCCTGGCTTGCTGCTGATGCTGCTGACACCTCCGCTCCGCAAATCCCGGACTGCCACGTCGCACGAATTCGAGCCACCTGGCGGGTGAACAGTGCGCGGGAGGCAGTGCAGGTGCCGTCCAGCAGGCTTGTCTTGATCTGGTGGAGGCATATCTGGAGGGCGGTGAGCGCATGGAACTTGGTGTGCGCGTCTGAGGAAGCTTCACAGAAAGAGAGGACACGGGGCAGCAGGCCGTGAAAGAGCAGCGACCAGCAGCGCACATCCTCTGCCTGGGGGGTCGCTGCCTCCCCTGCTGCTGTTCTTGCTGCACCTGCTGCTTCAAGCGGCTGAGCAGGCACGGCCAAGGGCGTGGGCAGCAGCAGCAGGAGGTGAGTGAGGGCTTGGCGGGGAACAGCAGTGAGCATGCCTCGGATGCAGCACAGCTGGCTGAACAGAGGAAACCTCCCCATGTCCACCAACCATGCACCCGACTGCCCTGCTTCTGCTCGCTCCTGCCTCGTTTTAAGCGCCTCCAGTACTGTCAATGGGTCCACAAACTCGCTAGCAGCCGCTGCTAAGCCGGTTGCTGGCGCTGCAGACACAGCAGGGGTAGGACTCGCGACAGCAGCTGATGGCAGCATGGCAGGGGCGGAAGGGGACGAAGAGGAGGCAGGGGAGGAAAAGAAGGAGCGTGCTAGAGCCACAGCCAGCCGCCCTTCCCTCCGCTCCTCCTCCTCCTGTTCGCCCTTCTCTTCCCCTGCTGTTGCACCAGAGCTTTTTTCTGATTGGATGAGAGGCAGCAAGGCGCAGAGAGCGACAGCCGCTGCTACAGTGGCATCTCTGGAAAGCACCCCCGTTTGTAGCACTCTCACTACAGCGCCGTGCACTGACAGCAGCTCCTCACACACGCCCTCGCTCTCAACACTCCCGTTGCTCTCACTGCTCTCAACGCTCCCAGTCCTCTCACTGCCTTGACTGCTCAGCTCGCCTTGGCCTTGGGTGCTGGAAGGGCGCAGAGCAAACTCTAGAGGGTAGCGCTGCAGCAGGTAGTAGAGCGTTGACAGCGCCTCCTGACACAGCTCCATCGTTGCTGGTACCACGTGGCCCCCCCCTTCCGAACCTGCTCCCGAACCTACTCCCGAACCTGCTCCCGAACCTGCTCCCGAACCTGCTCCCGAACCTGCTCCCAAACCTGCTTCCGAGGCTTCTTTGGCAGCTGTTTGCCCTACGTCAGCCATGCCAGCGGCATCAGAGAGCCCCTCATGATCGTTGCATGTGCTGCTCCTGCTCCCCCTTGGAAACCTGTCCTCACTGCTGCCACGTGGCTGCATGTGGTCCACCACTGCTGCCACGTCTGCACTCAGAACGTGCCCCAGCTGTCGCGCCACGAGGCGAGATGAGCTGTCAAAGGGTGCCTGGAAGGAAGGGAATGGGGACGACCGTGGAAGGAAGGGAACGGGGACGAGTGTGGAAGGAAGGGAACGGGGATGACCGTGGATGGGGGTGGATGGCACGAGTGGGGCGGATGGCACGAGTGGCTAGCATACGAGATGGTGTGGCATGGAGGGTGAGGGACGCCGTGGGTTGAAAGAAAGAGAGGCGGAGACACGGCATGCAGTGAAACAGAGAATGCAGTCATTCGATGGGGGGGGAGGGGAGGGGAGGTGAAGGTTTAGGGAACGGGAGGAGAACGGAGGAGAGGGGAGGAGGGGCGGCAGAGAGGAACGAGTGGAGTGCCATGAATGTGACTAGGAGTGAGAGGGGGAGAGGGGGAGGGGCGGCAAGCACAAACCTGGAACTGGGCGGCAGTGATGGAAGCCCCTGCTGCAGCTGCAGCGAACTGCCGCCTCTTGGAGCCACCAACGCCGTACTCGTTACAGCACAACGCGATAACACTCTCCACTATCGCCCTCGCTCTCCCTGCAACACTCTCCCCATCCTCCTCTCCGTATCCCTGCCTCACTCCTCCATCTCCCAACCCCCCCTCTGCCTGGCTATCCCCCGCACTTGTCCCTCTCTCTGCTCGCTCGCCCCTTTGCTTCTTTCCCTTCCCCTCTTTTTTCCCCTTCCGCCCTCCCCCTCCTCCGGCTCCGCCCTTCCCCCTGCCCCGCCCCGCTGCGCCAACCCCATGGAGCGCGAAGATGCGCACGAGCGCGGAGAGCAGCGCACGGTGCAGCGGGCGGGAGTTCTCGAGGAACAGAATCTCCAGGTACAGGCGGGTGGCTGGGACGGCGGTGGGGGGAAGGATGAGGGGAGACGAAGAAAAGAAAAGGTGTGAGACTGGGAAGAAAGAAAGCGGGAAACAGGGAGGCTAACTGGCATGGGGGCGAAACGCCGGGGTTTAGCGGGTGAAGCGAAGCAGAGCACGGGTTTTAGCGGGGGACAAAGGAGGTTCTAGCCGGAAGCAGGCCGATCTCTTCCCACACCAGTCCGCTAACAGCTAGACCCAACCAGTGCGCGAAGAATCCGCGTAGAGATCAACCTACGGCATCCCACTCCCACCTGCTCGTCACATTCCCACCTGCTATGAGCTCCCGCTCCTCTGAGCCGTCACTGCTGGCGGAACCAGTCGTGACGCCACTGATCGCATCGCGCCAGCGAATGAATAATCCATCTAGTGAATCTGAGAGCTCCTTAATATGGGGAATCTCGGCGAATGTCGATCTGAACCTGGTAAGCTGCAGCAGCGCGCTGCCGAATCGCCTTAGCTCCGCCGATCCGGGTATGGCACTCGGAGGGACTACTGGATCTCGTCGCAATGCCACCCCGCTGGCATTTCTAAGCAAGTCAGCTTGTAGCGAGTACAATCTATTATAAAGCTCCGGCACTTCTCCAAGCGAAAGAGCTGTGGCTCGCGAAACGTAGCTTGGCGGGAATGCCGTTCCCGCGTCGGACCATCGCTTCCGCTGCTGCTGGCGACGGAACTTAGACGCCATCGCCTACGAGGAGCGCACGGCGACGCATGCGATTCTGAACAACTAGAATCAATAGCAGCAGAGTAAACAAGCCAGCAAGTCTTGGGACTCGCGTTCCTGAATCTGATCATTGTTCCGTGGGCTGTTGAAACTGATGTGGTGGGTCGAGAATATAAAAATTGATACTGATAGTACACACATTTCACAAGTTCACTAGGCTGCATCTAAATATCTTCCAATACACAAAAATCAGTGTCATAGATAAGTTCTCAACCGCCCCCCCACCCCCCAATATTGCTTAAAGTTTGAGAGTGGCGGTGCTCTATCACCACGAATAAATTATTCCCCCAGGAAAAAAAAAAACCCTAAATGTCAGAAAGGTGGTTTGACAGCACTATCCCTTAGCACCAGATGGGCTGCCCCTGATTGGGCTTTCATAACCCTTGATGTTCTTTTTGGCATCCGCATGTGAGGCCACAAATTGCCGGCCGCCAAGATCGCATGCCGTGATACCCTTGTTCAGAGGACCCTTGTTGTACACAATGTTCTTGATATTCGTCTCTGCTTCCTTCTCCTGGAAAAACTTCTTCGACTGCAGCAGCAGCATGATGAATCACAAGGGCAGAGGATTGAAAACGCAGGTGAGCAAACACCAGAAACAAAGCACAACAAGCACAGAGCGGAAACAATAATCCAGCGAGTATTGAATCCTGTGCGGCCTCAGTACCGAAATTGCAGTAAAATGTGTGATGGGAGGAGGGACTACAGGGAAGTTAAACAGAATCACAGTGCCCCTAGTGTGCCGTACCAAAGACTTGTAGCTGTCGGAGTTGCCGGCCTGCACGCCCATGCGGATGTTGCCCATATCGTAGTTGGCGCCGCCCGCCATCTTCAGTGTGTCATCAATATCCTTCTGCAGGCTCGCCAGGGCCTCCCTCTCGTACAACTGCTTCTCAATATGGAAGCCCTGACCATGGGGAGATAGCGCGGGAAGAGGGGTTGCCAGTGAGTGGGAGGAGAAAACAGGAGGTAATTTGATGAAGAAACTACAATTTTCTGGTACGCATTTGCAGTTTCTGACGTTGCAACTCCGCCTAAGCTTCTCTGAGCTGAATTGTAGGATTGTTCACATAAGTTTCCGAAGGGAGTGTCGAATGGCATGTTTCAGCGTGTGTCAGAGGCACGTGTCAGTAGGGTATGTTAAATGACATGTGTCAGTAGTGTGTGCCAGAGACATGTGTCAGTAGTGTGTGCCAGAGACATGTGTCAATAGCATGTGGCAGTAACGTATGTCAGAGGTATGTGTTCGATGACAGGTGCGATGGAAGCATGAGCCCGCATTCACCGACAAATTACATAATGACGCCGCATTGATTAGCACGAGTCACGGGCTGTGACATCGCCGTGACATCACACAACCCTCAATTGAGACGCGGTCAAACGGCTGTTACTATCCGCATCGCGCTTACCTTATCAACCGCTCAGAACCATTACTGAACCAGATTGTTTGCTCCAAACGCCTTAAGATACTGGACTAAGCGCCAAGCACCAACTCATTAGCGTCTGCGCCCTCTATTGTGCAAATTCCCCGTGGAGCGCACCTTAAATAGAGTCGCGCAATCCTTCTTGTGAAGAGCGACCTTTCCCTTCTTGAGCGGCGACGCGCTCTCGCCGACCCACGTGATGAAGACGAACTTCACGCGCTTCGAGTCGCCGCCGTCGTCCATCTTGACCAATCGTAGCAAACCGTACAGAATGTTGTTGTCCTCACACTGCGGATGTACAATGCGCGCCGATCAAGGGAGGAGAAAACGTGTCGAAATTGAGAAAAGGTTCAATCAGATAGGTTCTTCTGCTTCCCCGAGAGGGATAAAACCGTACTGCTCTGGACGATGGCTAGGCCACGGGATACCAAAAGCGGCGAATTATGGAAAGCAATCAAGGTGAGAAGACAATGCAGGAGGATAGTCACGAATAAAAACCATTTGACAGAATCACAGATAGAGTTTTCTAGGGATGGAAACAGCAATTTCACCTTTGTAACCATGTCGTTGACGTCGCCAGTGCCGGTCCCCATCGGGACGAGGGAGTTGCCCTCGTAGCCTAGCCAACACCATGTTTCAGGTGTGTCATCTGAAAATACGGCGAGATATGCCTCCGAGCATCCCGGCTTAAACAACGACGCCATCAACCGAAGGAGGTCAGCAGATGAAGGAGCGAGTAGCAAGCGCCGCGAGAACAATGCCGGACAAGGCTTCTACTCGTTGAGCAACTGGTTTAGCTGATTCGTGCACGGTTGCAGTGAATGATCAGGGAGTCGTGGCGAAATGGCGGTGTGCTAAGGGGTCTGGACAGAACCAGCTTGTGGGGAGTGAAGGAGCAGTGGATTCAGTGAGGAGTTTGTGGATAGGAGAATGAATGAGTGCCATGGCTGGCGGAGCTTCTCATACCACCAGCTGGACCGCTGGAGGGAACAGGGGGGAACGAGTATGACAAATTCCGGGTTGCGCGGAGTGGAAACGAGAGGAGCGGAAATCCCAAGAGCTCGCATGCGCGGCCCCTTGGGGAGGTGTGGTCAGCCTATGATTGGATGGGGCGATTGGAGGCGCAGAAGGTCCCCGAGAATGGGACTGGTTGTTGGGTTTGGGGAGGTGGTTGGGCGAAGGCTGAAGCTTTTGGCGAGGATGTAGTGACGGTCTTACAGCGAATTCATAATTTCAACCTCAAACAAAGCCATCTACTTTCAGGTGAAGTTGAAGGGTAGTAACCTCCAGCACCCGAAACATTCTTATACCATATTATGTTTCGTTATTCTTTGACCCTTGCTAGAAATGGTGTTGAGCAACTGATTAAGTGGTAGCTGTGGTATCCAGCTTCATTTGACTATGAAAGCTTACTCACTGTCATCATTAAAGACATATTCTGCTGGTTAGTAGTAGCCCCTTTCGCAATCAGGGCAGCACAGATACAATTGACAGTATCGTTTCTACCTACAATAGATTGGGCAAACCGCTTGCTTAGGTTAAAGACTGTTTATCGTTTGGCATCATTGGCAGGGAACTGCAGGAGCATCCCCAGCAACCACCTGGGACCGACACCGCTGTGTTGGTTGCAGCTCCTTCTTCTCCTGCTCCTTCTTGGCAGCCCACATTGCGTATAGATAGCGACCTGATCCCATGTCGACGATAGACATGAGCACGGCCCAAATGTGCGCCCAGATGGTCTTGCTCTGAAGACGGAATATCAGGGATAAGAGAAAAATCACAGATAAGATAAGCTGATCTTGCTGAGAGAACTACGAACAGTGAAAATTAGGGTTGAGCGTTAGGAGCCCAATGCCTTGCATTTCAAGGAACGAAATAGAGTCCTATTTCGACGTGAGATACAAATGGCGACGGTCGGAGCGAACAAACCATTCCGGGCGAAAAAAAAAAAGCCGCTCACCTTCTTGCTTTTACCCCGGCCCGACCGGACAAGAGGCTCCGACAACATCGCTCCATCCGTCTCCGAGCTTCCGTCGCCGTACGCGAAACAAGTCTCAGACGTTTCGGAAGAGTGGAGGCTATCGACGTCATCGACGCTCTTCCATGACCGCCATGTCATGTAGCCCGCGATGAACGCTGAGACCACCACGAGCACGACCCTCATCGGACACACCATCGTGACAGTCTGCACCCCTGGTGTTTAGGTTCAAATAATTCTGTACCGCTAGAAAGCGTGCCCTGAGCTAAGACCGAGTGGAAGGAGAACAGCTATTATAGGTGGTTGCTTGTGAGCTGACGGAAAGGGTTTCAACAAATGGAGCGGAGCGTGATCAAGCAACCTTCGCTCTGGCCGCGTCCTAGAAACGAAAAGAAATAGCTGTCTTGTCAAAGTGCGTTGTACTTAGGAGGACGCGACCAACCAATACTGTCCGAGCTTTTAGAGCAGTCGTCAATATTCCTTCCCAGCAATTGGCAAAAATACAGGAGGGGGTGTTGCAAGAGGGGTGCCGCGGGTAGTGGGTTGGAGTGAACTGGATTGAGGAGGAAGCGGAGTTGGCTTCTCGGTTGACGGTAACTTCGAAGGTGTGCGACGAGCAGCGAACGGTCGCCAGGGCATCGCACGAATCGAATAAGGCGAAGGTTCTGCTGAGGATGAGCGCAGGGCCTGGTTGGATGCAGGAGCTGACGGTGCCGCGAGAAGTCTGGAGTCGCGGGCTGCGGTGGTGTGCGACGTGGACTGCCAGCAAGGAAGGAGGTTTTGGCAGACTAGCTTGGCTCCTGCTCATGGAAAACTGACGAGTGGATTTGGGCAAGTTCAGCAGAGATAAACTGCCCGTATTGAAAGTTCCCGACGAACCCGAAGCCAAATATGTGTGGCATCGGTGAGCTGCAAAGCTTGACATGGGTCATCGAGATTCGTGATTCGTGATTTCCACACCGACATGGTGTGCAGTGCACACACAAAAGGCGCGTGGTCGGTCCCCCGAAGATGAGGTGACGGGGCAGTTCCGACTTATGGCGAGTACGACACTGTCGGGATTGACCAACAACCTTTCATTTCATCCCGTTATCAGGCCGGCCGTTTGCCTTCACAACTTTTGAGTTTTGTACGACTTCAAGCAGTTCCGCTTGGAAGAGATAATTATTGCACCCTGAAAAATACTTCAAAATAAACTTCACCTTCAGATGTCAGAACCGTGTAAATGCATAAAGAAAGATGATGTGTTTTTCTTTGCCTCAGATCCGCCAATATTCTCTTAGTCGACACTGGCAATGTGCTGCAGGCACGAGGGTGGGAACAGGACCGGATCAGAATCTGCAAAACAGGATGCAAATGCGGGATGAGATCGGGATTGTGTCTGCATTGACACAAAAAGAAGTCTTCCCCACATGAAAAAGCAGCTGTATAATGGCAAGTGCTTCTCCGCCTTCGAATAACATCACTCACATTCTCCCCTTATCCGTGGTCGGCCCGCTGCGCCTATCTTTCAGTTTGGGGTCCAGCGAGGACAAACGAGGCCATTTCCTCCAGCCCTGCTTCCCGGTAAAGCCCTGCTAGCTGCTGACGCGTCTCGCCCCACGTGCCCTCTGCTGCTGCCACGTCCAGCAGAAAGGCTGCCTCGTCCAATGCCACCTGCAGGCGCATGGTAGGATCACCTGCTCACTGCTGCTGCGCCCACCTGGTACGAGCCCCCCAGCCCAACGCTCTCCTCCTCTCACCCCCCCCGTTCCCCGCAACATGTACTGAATGCATGGCTATGCCCCCCCGTGCAGCCATCGCCCTTCCAGGACCAGCTTGAGTCACCTTAGCCTCTGTGCGCTGGGCTGCACTCTCGGGTCATCTCTGGGCTGCACTCTCGGGTCATCTCTCGGCTGCACACTCGGGTCATCTATGGGTTGCACTCTCGGGTCATCTCTGGGCCCAGGCAGTGCTGCCGCACTGACGACTGTTTTTGGGGTAGGGGTTGTGAACTGGGGCCAGTTCACAGGGGGATGGAACCTTCCAGCTTGTTTCCTTGCAGGTTGCTGTTAGAGAGTAGAGTGAGAAGGTTGATGGTGGGAGGGGAGAGCGGCGGATCCAGGAGTGCTACCAACCCGGTTGTAAGCTGGTTGTAAGAATATCCTAGAATATCCTAGGAAAAAGCTCCTTGCAGGTTTTGGAGAGTGAGCAGCAAGGTACTTGACTGGCCGAGTGCTGAGATGTGAGGAAGAACCAAGAGCACTCACACGCGTTCCAGTGCAGTGAGTGCGCTCCATGTCCATGAAAGGAAGCCTGAGAGGTCGTTGCCAGCAGCAAGACTGCACCAAGAGACGCAATGCGGGGTGCAGCATGAGGGGCAACGCATGGCGCATTCAGAATGAGAAACTAAGGTGGGATTCATGGGCGCGTGCTTAGACGGTAGAGCAGTCAAAGGAAGCTCACTGCTTGAGTAGCGACGGGTGCAGCACTGACAAGGCGGGTCACTGACAAGGCGCGGAGGCCGGTGAGGTGGTTGAGGTGGCGGGGAATGCAGCCCCTGCGCTGCTCGTACTGGTGCAGCACGTCTCTGCAAGGGCGGGCGGGTGCCAGGCGAAGTGTGCGCATAGGAGAAGTGTACGCACAGGAGAAGTGTGCACACAGGTGGGATCTTTGACAGTCTCAAGGCTCTCCAACCCTAACAAAATATTGAGGCGCCTCAAAGTCTGCTCGTACTGGTGCAGCACGTCACTGTCAGGGCGGGTGAGTGCCAGGAGTAGTGTGCGCACAGGAGGGATCCATACAAGAGGGATCCACACAGGCTGCCAGCCATGCCGCCAGGCCGCCAGCCATGCCGACAGGCCGCTAGCCATACCGCCAGGCCGCCAGCCATGCCGCCAGGCCAGCAGCCACGCCGCCAGGCCGGCAGCCATGCCGCCATGCCGGCAGCCATGCTGCCATGCCGCCAGCCATGCCGCCAGGCCGCCAGCCATGCCCCCATGCTGGCAGCCATGCCGCCAGGCCGGCAGCCATGCCGCCAGGTCGCCAGCCATGCCGCCAGGCCGCCAGCCCTGCCACCAGGCCGCTAGCCATGCAGCCATGCCGGTGGCCATGCCGCCATGCCGGCAGCCATGTCGTCATGCCGGTGGCCATGCCGCCAGCCATGCGGCCAGGCCGCCAGGCCGCCAGCCATGCCGCCAGGCTGCCAGCCATGCCACCAGACCGACAGCCATGCCGCCAGGCCGGCAGCCATGCCACCAGGCCGGCAGCCATGCCGCCAGGCCGC